TCCCTCCCCAGGGCCAGGCTCTGCCCATCTGCTGCCTGCAGGGGTCCTGGCCTTGACCACGCCTGGTACAGCCCTCAGACCCTTCGTTCCTTCAGCCAAGCAGGGTCTTGTGGGGACAGCTCTCCCTGCTGTCCCCAACACTCCCAACCTGCAGACAATAGCTACTTTCCATGTTCCCAGACCAAGCCCCTTAATGGCCTCACCCTGATGGATGGTCATCTCCCCTCACTCTGATAGACGGTCTCCTGCAGCAGCCAGAACGCAGGGCCAGAAACAGATGAGGAATAAACATGCAACTGCGTAAGAGCCATCGTGTGCTCGTTCCTCTGCCGATGCTCTCGGGGAGCACCGAGGGTCCTCTGTGAGCAACACGGGGAATTGACTAAGAAACGGCCACCTGCCAAGGAGAGCTGCCAGCGTGGCTGGAGGAGGTGACAGGACGGGAGAAAGCTTCACCCTGGACCAAGCAAAGAGACATAGCAAGGGAACAGAGGAGATGACTCAGAGGCAAGGTAGTGAACTAGCAGGTCCATGGCATTCAGTGACCTCAGGCTGCTCAGAGCTGACCCAGTGCAATGGAAGCAGAGCTGAAGGGACTTCAGAGGGCTGAAGAGTGAGCCAAGGGGAGGGAGAGACCTTTCTGGAGGTCAACCTTTTAGGGGAGGAGAGAAGGCGGTGGCTGGTGAGTGAGCCTACCAGATGCTAGAGTCTTGAACAAGCTTAGTAAACATTGGAAGATTCTAGAGGCTTGCAACAAGAAGTCTCAGAGTCTCAGTCTGCAGCGCAGCATGACTCCCGAAGTACAGGTAACACAGTTGACTTTACACACTCATGCACACACACACACACACACACACACACACACACACACGCACACACCGGAGCTGCACAGTGAGCAGCCAGAAGACAGCGCGAAGCATGCGCAGAGAGAGCACACCTGACAGGTGAGGTGGTGAGGTGGGGCGGTGCCCAGACCAGGTGGAGGGTGAGGCCAGGCTTCCGGCTTCTGCTGTAACAGGAACGCAGGGGCGGCCTGGCCAGGGGCCAGGGAAAGGGCCTGCTTCTCAGCTGAGTGCTGTGGGACCTCCTCTCCTCAGCGACTTACTGATTTCTAGTGCAGGAGTCAGTCACCTGCTGAGTGACATCTTCCAGGGGTGGGGTGGGGATGGTGCTAAATGGGCTGGAGAGTGACCAGGGTATCACAGCTGGCCTGCCATGCTCGGAGATGGTGGCACCAGCTTTTGCAGTCGGGTTGTCTTTCCCTGTGACGTTTGTGAAGGCCAGCTGCTGGGCAGAGGACAGTCAAGGGGCTGAAGATACAGCCCAGAGAGGGGTTGGCATCATGGAGGGCTGTGGCAGGGTAGGGAGGAAATGGGTGAGGGTGGGGGAGCTGATCCCTGCGGAGGCTGAGGGGCAGGCCTGCGGAGTAAGCAGGAGGTCCAAGAATGGCCTGAGGGATGTGAACGTGAACTAGAAAGGCCAGTTCTCCCTAGAGGAGGAGCTGTCCTCATTGGCCCTCGGCTTTCTTATTTAAGTGGAAATTGATGGTGTGTGTGTGCGACATGCACATGTGTGTGTGTGTGTGTGTGTGTGTGCGTGTGCGTCTAAGAAGACAGGAAATGTTCAGGCCCCTGGCAGCAGCACTACAAAGGTCCTTACCCGTGTGCTAACTCCTCACCTGCTGGAATCCAGGCCCCACAGCCACACGTCCCTCTGCAGGGGCTGTTAAGCGTCTGACTGGACAAGGCCCTGCCCTGCCCTGCCCAGCTCTGGCCCTTGGTCCTCCTGGCCTCAGTCCAGGGGTCTGAGGAGCCTAGGGCAGCAGCCCAGGACACATTCACATCTGTGATTGAGTCTGGATCTTGCTGCCTGAAAACTGAACCCCTGCCCTAAAGGGGCCTCTGGGTCCACTCATGCTCTCAGTCAGCCCGTGTGAATTCCCAGCTCTCTGAGGCAGCCCCTGCTGGCTCTCAGACTCAGAGACAAAGAGGGTAAACCTGGAATCTGCCCTCCAGTGTTCAGCTTGGTGGCAGGGCAGGTGATAGAGTGGCAGGGTGGCCTGCAGAACCCCCTGCATGCCCCGGCAGCAGCTGCTCCCAGGGGTGCTGCTCAGATAGGGTTTCTGCCTGGCTGTGCCTCTTGTGAACCCAGTTGCACCCAGCATGCTTGAGTCCTGACTCACCACTACCAGCTACTTGATCTTGGGCAAGTTAGCAGGCCTTTCTGAGCCTCCGTCTTCTGACCTGTCAAATGGGGATGTCCCTTTAGAGAACATGCCTGTGAGGTGTTTGCAGAGTGCCTGGCACAGAGCAGCTGCTGCGGGAACTCCCTGCAGTAACTTGCATGCTTAGATGGTTCACCAGCACCTCCTCTTCCATTCGGCAGAGAGGGGCAAGGAGAATGGGAGGGCACGCCTGCGAGCTACACGCAGCTTTTTGGTTTACCTTATTGGGTAGATCCTAGTCACATGGTGCATCTAGCTGCAGGAGAGGCAGGGCAGCCCTGTGACTGGCTGGAACCTAGGTTCCTTCTCTTGAGCAGGAAGTTGGTCTGCGTACTAGGACAGTAGCGTCTTGTCTCTGCCTGAGCTTTCATCAACCTCAGTTGGGTATGACCTTGTATAGCTGTGGCCCAGAGACGCTGGCTTTCCATATTTTAAAAGAAACTAAAAAGTCAGGTTTTTATGTGCAAATGTTTCTGTTTCTAACTGTTGACAACTAACTTAATTTAAAATGAAAATGCTCAGTAGGCCAACAGTGTACAGGGAAAGCAAAAGGCGCAACAGGTCCAGAGAGCTGTAGGACAGAGTAGAGGCAGCCTCCAGGATCCCCAAAGCTGGTCCCAGGACAAGACAGCAGTGTCAGGAGCCTCAGTGAAAACCAAGCCTTGGGGTGTGGCCTATACTGAGGTCTGCAGGCAGTCACCAACCTGTCCCCAGAAAGAGAACACAGCAACTCTGAAGCAACTTTCCTAATACTATAGGGTTCAACAATGTTTGACCGCATTTTGCAAAGATGTACAAGGTGGTATGCCTAAAAAAACCATCAAGGGCCATCTTGTGGCATGGTGGTTACGGTGCTGAATCCCACATGGCTGTCTCCTAGTGGGTGATTTCTCACTTTGTGTATCTCTGTCTCTCTCTGTCTATCTGGCGAGCACATGTACCCTACAGACAATGTTGCAAATATGTCAGTTCTTTCCAAATGATTCTATAGATTAAATATATCTGGGCCAGCACGTGGTGTTGTAGTTGAGGCACTGGACTTTCACAAGGCTGACCACAGTTCAAGTCCCAGACCTGGCAGCTTGCTTTCTTACTTTCACTCTCTATCTCTGTCTCTCTCTGGTGAGTGTATATGCCCTGTAACAAATTAACAAATAATAATAATAATAATGACAAATAAAATTAAATAATTCTTTAAAAAATAAAAATAATAACCATAAGGTTTTTGTTGATGCTTTTTTTTTAAATGTTGATGCAAATTGACAAGTTGGTTCTAAAGTTTATACAGAAATGTGAAACCTTCAAATAGTTAAGGCAACTTTGAAGAAGAGCAGAGCTAGAAAACTTATTCCAATAAAGCTAGTAATTAAGACAAAGTGGTATTGGCATACAAATAAGCAAAATGACCAATCTAGAAACAGACCCAGAACAAGATACAAAAGAACCAATTCTTTTTTAAAGTTTATTTATTTATTCCATAAGAGAGGGAGACAGAGAGATAGAAACAGGTACCCCCAGGAAGGTCTTCACATCACACTCCTATCCCAGCCTTACCCCCAAAATCAGGACACACATGCCAGGTGTGCACTGAAGACCTCAGGATGCGAACCCAGGACCATCCCTGGTATGGGATGACTAGGAGTTGTCTTACTGCTGTCCTGGCCCAACTGGCCTGACAGATGTTTGAATCCTACCTTCCAGTGATCTCAGTCCGACAAATCCATGCACTGGGCCTGAGCTCAGAGAGCTCCAATGGTAGGGGTGAGGAAGGGAGCACAGGTCCTGCTATAGGACACCTGTGGAGGGGAGAGGGTCCCTGACACCAAGAGTCCCGGCAAGGAGGGCTGGACATCAACTCCCTGTCCTGGGTGGCCGCTGGGGAAGATGGAGTACCTGGGATGCAGACGTGGGGTATATGATGAGGAAGCTATGGGTGGGGTTGCTTTTTTATTTTAGAGAAAGGAAATAGCCAGGTCAAACCAACTGGGGTGTTTGGAGAAACGATCAGAACCTGGGGCGACCAGAGTTGACCCCGTGCCCTGGGGCAGCTCAGCCTCCAGAGAAGAGTGACTGTGACCGCAGGGGGGCTCAGCTCCCCCCCCCCACTGCCACCACCTGCCTGTGCTCCTGCTGAGCACCTCAGT